GACCCGAAGCATGAAGCTTCTCTCTCTTTAATCCCTTTGATCTCTAAAAACCTCCAATGAAAACCGAACTAGTAACCTTGCAAAAGCTTGAAAACTAGCTCCCCCCGATTCCCAGAGAAAAAAAAAAATCCCCCTTCAAAACTATATCCCCCCTAACCTTATCCTCTGAATTTCTTCAATCTTCCGTCTTAGATCCGGAATTGGCTCCCACCGTCAAGCTTGGATCCAAAATTGGCTCTCGCCTTCAGAGCTTTCTTCTCCGTTTTTACCTTTAAGAAATCCATTTACTGAAAACAACGTTCCCTGAAACGGCACAAAGAACAGGACAGCCCGAAACAGAATCGAAACCCCGTAATCGGGACCACATTGAGTCGCCCGACCAATTCAGGTCCCATATTGGGTAAGATGCCCGTAATAACCTGGATGTTCCCGTAATTGGATCTGCATTGGGTTGCCCGGCCAATTCAGGTCTCATATTGGGTAAGAGGACCCGGATTGGATTCTCGAAATTGGATCCAATTGGCTCTTCGAACCCGTCGTGTGAATTAGTCCTTCTCTTCTTGCTGACTCCCGTTATTGGAATTGAATGGAGCATTTCAGTATGCCCCAAATGACTATAACGGGGTGACTGAACCTGGCCACTCAGTATTTGTACATGAGTTGGTCGATGCTCCCAATATTCGAGGTAACTGAATATTAATAAAATTCCCCTTTCTTTTTATTTTCACTGTATACTCGTGTTACAACACGATAGCCGGCGACATCACTGCTCGTAAGGCTTTAATGGTAGGATGTTGGTGGCCCACAATATTTTCTGATGCACACCAATTTGTTCGTCATTGTGATCCCTGTCAACAAATGGGTCGACCTATGGGCACTTCAGCCATGCCGTTAGTATCAATCTTGGCACAAGCACCATTTGAAAAATGGGGTATTGATTTTGTTGGTCACATCACACCAGCGTCAAAACCTCACCAAAAGCGATGTATTTTAGTCGCTACAAACTATGTAAACAAATGGATAGAGGCTATTACTACCCGCCATGATAATACCAGTACGGTGGCCACTTTTCTTTATGAGAATATTATAACTCAATTTGGGTGTTCAAAAGAATTGATTAGTGATCGCGGCACCCATTTCATAAATGCTACCATAGCTGCTTTGACAAACACATATGAGCTTAAGCATCAAAAAACTACTCCATATCATCCTCACGCAAATGGACAAATGAAAAAGACCAATGAAATTTTGTGTAAGGTCTTGACTAAGACAATTTCAGAGGTGGGTACCGATTGAGAGACCAAACTCTTTGTGACTTTGTGGGTATATCATACCGCATATAAAGTAACTACCCACACTACTCCGTTTCAACTAGTTTACAGCTAAGAGGCAATTTTATCTCTCAAGTTGGAGGTTCAAAGTTTACGGATTGCCTTAGATGAACGTCTCAGTGAAAACGAGTCGTTACACTCTCGGTTGGCAAAATTGGAGGAATTAGATGAAATATGGGCTACAATTCTTTTCAATTTGGAAGCAACTCAAAAATGGAGGAAGAGTTACTATGATAGTAAACTACGTTCGAAGAATTTTATGCCCAATGATTTGGTATTACTGTATGATAGCCGATTTAATCATTTTTTGGACAAATTTCAAGTTTGCTGGCATGGGCCATATTGGGTGATTGAAGGTTTTTTCAATGGATCTGTTCAATTGGAGGATTTCATGGGCCATCGATTCAGTACTCGCATTAACGAGAATCAATTATGATTATTTAATACATAAAATCTGGGATGGATTTTCATTTTTTGGAGAGAGGCGACTTTGAATATACTCAGGATAGACTTAGGTATGGTATAAGTGTGTTAGGATGTAGAGGCGGCCGAAAAGATAGTTAGTAATTATTAATGTGTCAGATGGGACGGAGGTAAAAAATAGATAGTCTGGATAAATTGTTGTCATTATCACAAAGTAGTAAGAGAATAGGAATGGGGCACCAGTTAGACGTCATTCTGTGGTGTGATTTTGGATTGTTGTTGTTGTTTTTTTTTTTTTTTTTTTTTTTTTTTTTTTTTTTTTTTTTTTTTTTTTTTTTTCTGAGATTGTCATTTCTTATGTTTCTTGCGTATTCGAGAGTAGTAGTTCCAATTACGAGTATGAGAGAGGGAGCATCATGGCAATTGAAAGTACAAAGCGAGCTACAAACAAAGAGGATAGTGGCCAAAATGTGAGAGCTAGACGCTGATCAAAACCACCTTCTGTGATAATCGTTACCAATATGGAGCAGATGAAGTTAGATATCTGTTGGACGTCGAGAAGAATAAAAGACTTTCGGAATACGAAATTATTCTAATTTTTGCACTAATCAGATCGCTTACCATCAATTAATGTATCACTAATAGAAGAATATATCACAAATTACGACTCGGAGGATGGATCAAGTGTTGTACAAGGACGAATTATCAGGATTGAAAGAATAATCTTGGAAAAGGTGTTGCTTTTTTCCATTTGAAAGATTGCGATAGGAGTTGATGACTTAAGCGACTTCAGTCTAGGAAGATATTTGAAGGGAGTTATGTCGACCTTTGAGAGGAGCCAAGTTTGGCGGACTGTTGAGGCAATTTCACTAAAACTCGTGAAATGGTTCCGTTTTGTGGTAAGGCGGTTAGGATTGTATTGACACCCCACATATATGTCCAAACGGTTATTGTATGCAGCGGTAGGGTCGCTTGAAGGGATGGTGTTCAACTGGGTAGCTTACGTAGCGACTCGTATTCATGTGGAGATAGGAGCCAAGTGGAAATTGGGGAAGTTCACATATTTGTTTTGTTTCAATTATGTGTATGCTATAATTGCGCACACATTAAGTCAAACACCGCCAGTAGAAGAAAATCTTGTACTAGTGCAAGTCCCTCCACAGAAAGAATAAAATTCGTTGGCACAGAATGTCAATACAGTAGATATAATATACGAAATTGAAGAGTTAAGTCGTACAGTAGCACAAGAGGTCGTTCCAGTTATTGAATCAGAATGGATTCCAATTTGTTTAGCTGTAGAGGAGGAGAATGAAACCCCAATTTCGATAGATATTAATCAGTTGGCATTTCCACAGGGTCGATTGTCCAAAGGAATACCTCTTAAGAATGCTTTATTGAAGCGCATTTCATTAATACATTGTATGGTGCGAGCATTGGATGTAGAGGGTAGTAGCAAACTGGATTTAGAGGACAGTAAGAAGGTGATATCAAAGCGAAACCGAAGAATTGAAGAGCAAGAACGGACTATGAAAGAAATTGGGGAATCGAAGCTGGTATTATAGTGGAAATGGGTTCACCAATATGAGTCTTGGATGAAAGAAAAAGAACACATCTTATGGATTGTAGAAGGACAATGGGACAAATTGATCTAAAATCGCAAGACATGGGATTTGGAATGGGAGAAACTCAAATGCCAATTGCAAGCGGAAGGAGACAAGACAGAGTTATTGACGAAAGAGAAAGCGGTATTGAGTGACCAATTCAGATGCGAAATAGAGAAGCTGAGGTCCAAAATCAAAGTTTTACAAGTTGAGGTAGCAAAATTGACGGAAGAGTTAATAGTGAGGAGCCGGTCACAAGCATCAATTGAAGATGTTCCAGAATGGATGAGTCAACAGCAGCATCAGTTGGAACTTCGTGATGCCCAGATTTTGAAACTGGAGGCTCAAATCCGTGAATTGGGAGAATATAATGAAGATCTCTCAAACCAGTCGAGGAAGGAGTTGATGGACGGATTGGAGGAGGAGGAAGATTTGAATTTAGAACCGGAATCGGTAGAACCCACATTAGATAATACAGCAAATGATCAATTGGGTGGGCCAGAGGAAATAGTAAATTTGTAGAGTTTTGTTAAGTAGTTTTCAGATAGGTAACAATTGTGTATTTGCAAGGACGCTGCACAAATAGGAGTGGGGCTATGTAGAATAGATATTAATTTATTTTTGTAAGATATTGGTAAAATAGACTAATAGTCAATAGAATAATCAGTTTAGGAAGATGGATGGTTAACTTAGTTATTAAAAGCGGTTAATTACAAAATTATGGTTAGAATCTGGGAATAAGGAATAACTATATAGATGTTGTAGAAGTTAGTATGAGGGCCAGATTGTGATAGTCATGAGCCGGGATAAGCTTGGTGCTACCTCTTTGTCTCTTTGTTTTTTTTCTTTGTTGTTGAAGAGTAATGGATAGTTTTTGAATACTAAGAAGTGAATCTGTGGAATAAATCAGAGATTGATTTATGAGTTATTGATTATGTAATTGGAGTACTGAGTGATTGAATTATGTGAGGAGTTATTGAAAGATTATGATTGTTGTTTATTGAGAGTTGTGTGTGTTTTGGACAAAGGAAGTTGGTGATTATAGAAATTCTGTGAATTCAGATTGGTTGGAGTGAAGTCTGTTATTTCTGGTGTTGGATGGAAATTATGTATTTTGAGCGGTCTTTTGAAAGTGCAAGATTGCACACTATTGTTATCAGTTGATGAAGGAGTATTGTTACTGGGAGAAAGTATTGTAATATTTCTTAGTATTTTAGTGGTTCGGAATACAATTAATTGTGTGACCTTAACAAGTAAAACTCATGCACTTAGTCTTTACCTGTGTTTGAATTCCCCTATATAGATTTATTCTAAAAGGAATTGTAAAATAAGTAAAACGACAATCACACCCATCTAAGAAATTTATAACTACGTGGTTTGGCACTACTAACAAAAGTTGTTGACATAAAAAATGACCAATTGGAACCACCTACTAGCCTATGAGTGACCTCATAATGCAATGTGTACACGCAAAATTTGTGGATATCACCACACCTCTTCCCCCTCTTCTCTTACATAACTTTTACCTTTCTCTCTCCCATATTCTACATTACAAATCCATATTTAACATAACACTATTGATTTTACTTAGTGTATTGCTATGCAACTTCCACTGCCTGGACTTCAACATCACAGTTGACAATAATAGTCACAATCCAATCTGTTATTTAAAAGTACATACAACGTCCCCTCTGCACATGATGTTTTATCGATGTATGTCTTTGAGCCCAAAAAATAGTGCAAGCCTACCTGCCTGCTGGCATCAATTTCTACAGATACATATAACCCTTCTTTAACTTTTACAGATACATATAACCCTTCTTTAACTTTTACAGATACACATAACCAGTCAGAATCTAAAACCTGGTTCAAATTGGACCTAGTCGAGCATGGATGCAAATGCATAATTCACGATCCCTCTGTTTCTAGACACACCGTAAAGCATCAAGCGCACGATAGCACTCTCCAAATGGAGAGTTGACCCTGCTCTGATGCTATTAACACGGTACTTCTAGCTATTACAAGATAAGTGAAAGTTCCTTGGACAAGGGCTTGCCTTGCATTTCACAAGGCAGAATACAAGGATATCTTGCTTCATTTGCTTCTTCCCCAACTACTCCACTATGTGTGAAAAAAAACGCTTTAAGCGCACGCGCTCTGCCTTCTGTAACTTCTTGTTGCTGGTAATACACGAGAAGCCAAAATCCAAGATGCGGACAGTAGGGTTCTTTCCCCACACAACCATAATGTTACTTAAGGAAACATCTCCATGAAGCAACCCACATGCATGAACTGCAGCAAGCGCTTGAATCGCTGCAGTCTCCACCTCCCGGGTCACTGCCACTGAAACATAATCACCACAAAGGGCAAATAAATGACAACTTTGCCAGCAGATTGCAGGTGGTCAAAGGTATTGGCCCTTCAAAGAAACACTTCATAGAATCACCATGCCCAGGCTACGAGAAACCCTCAAGACCAGAATACGGAGAGTAGGATGCTCCGCATTTGAGAGTTTTGCAAGAAATCCTACCTTCTCCAAGCTCAACACCGTCAATCAATTCAGTCGCGATAAATACAACCCGACCGTTATTTGTGGTTCCATATCCTATTAATCGAGGAACAAAAATCCCCCAAAGCTTCTCCATCTTCCTATAGGCAGCCACCTCCTTCAGGAGAGCCTGCACAAGCGCGGCCAAAGATGGGCTGGGCAATGTAAGATCACAAACAGGTAAGTGCCGCAAACTGCACGTGCACTTGAACACCAGCATGCTCCACGTTGCATCTACCAAAGACATCCTGTCAGTAAAGATATCACAAACAGGACCTTTCCACCTCAGTCCCCGGATTAGATGAAGTAGCAGCCACTTTGAGATGTGAACGCAACATTTCCACATGACACAACTCCGGCTCACCTCCGCACGTTCCGTGCCTAAGTGGGCAAACTTCAATGCAACAGGTTGGCCATGCAAACGGCCATTAACAACGCATCCACTCCACCCCTCACTACTTATGACACCGCCCGCCTTTTTCAGGTTCAGGTCCTCCGCGGAGACATCTTCCAAAGCCAGCTGCGCCCCACCTGAGTGACGTCTTTCAGACCTGCAAATGCAGTTGCTGTCATTTCACCATTTGTTCTCGACTACGTGTCCGACTTCATGGAACAAACTTGAATAGCTGGCTGGACAAGTTACCTTCGTTTTTCAGAGGAAGAGATATTTTGGCTCACACGTGCTGTATAGGTTCGATCATTGATGTCGTCATCACTGCTTTCATCGGAATGTTCAGAGGGGGCACCTTCATGAACTAAGGGAAATTGGCCATTCCCCGTTGGATCACCAAACTCAGAGTTATCCTCTGCAGCAGCGTGCACCAAATATGACAACTCAGCGAGCACTCGCGGGGGCTCAGCACTCGCCTTAATACCAGCTGATATTTTGAGGCAGCCGGCATTATCCCGTTTGAAGAGATACCAATTTCTTGCATCGGTTAGAACACCATAACCCACCTTACACCTGCAACTCAGAGCAAAGGGATAGCAAAATGAGAACTGCCACGCATTCCATGTTGTCGTTTTGCCAAACGTAGATCGTGAAACCAAGACGGTACGAGAAAATCCCATTGGCAGGACGAAGGGAGATACAAGTAAGAAGAAGAGAACAAGATCATCTTAAGTGAGTCAACTTAGAACCAGGATCAACAGGCAGTAGAATGCAGCTTGTTAGAAAAAGGGTTTCTTGTTTATTGGGATCAGAAAAGGCAAAGGCTAAGCAGGTAAGCGCTGAGCTCCAAGAGAATCTTGCCAAGAGGAAAAATTATCAAGATAATTAGGGGTTCAAAAGAAGCTTACAAAACCATGTACTCATACAACTGACTAATACAACGGATGATACTTTCACCATGAGATGGTGTGATGCCAAAAACGGCGAACCCGCACCTGCCCTCTCCTGCGATTATTGGAACCTCTGTCAGAATCCTTGCAACAATGTAAGAATTGGAACACACTATGAAAATATGGGATAGGGCCAGATAGAACCTGATGTGCAAGAGCAGTCTGTCCAAACTCGGTGGAGAAACCAGGGGTCATCTCCGTCACTTCCCAGACCTTCATTCTTGACCTCGAAGACCAAAGCATTCTTCTCCCTTAAAGTGATTACGAAATCTGCTCTAGGGCTTCCGGAATAAACGTCAACCATGGCACTTGAACTCGCACCCTCACTTGATCCTATTCCGTCATTTCCCCCTTTACTCTTGCTGAGGATTATGAATTCCGACTTAAAGTGAAGGTTAGAATGCGGCTCCTTCTTCTGCATAAAAGATACCACTTCCCCAGGATATAAGCGATATGATGATTCTCATGCTTTTCTTCCAGTCTAGTGTCCTGAGTGAAAGCGCTGACAGCGATTCGATACACACGCCTCCTTCTATCTGCGCTTTCTAGAAATTCTTCAATCTCGTTCATTACATCCCAATGCTCTACTTTGACAGGTAACCACATCCGTGCATGGCTCGAGCTGCTTGGGTAAACGCCAGCCCGTGAAGAGCGAGTCGGCGGCACGACCTTCTGCACCAGCCACTCATATTCTGTGCCCAGGTCTGCTTGCACAACACAATCTAAGATTGAACTTGATATACACGCACCTTCACAAGCGTCACCAAACCGAAGAGGATCCAAATAGGTTCTAGGACAACCCTGTAGACGGATCGCCTCCAAACGACCCACAATAAAGAGTAAACATAACCCAGAACACCTAGTTCGGCAACAAAGAACCAGCTACGGAGCAATCGAGGTCAATGAAGTAAACTATCCAATCTTATGCCAACCCTAATTCCACAACCATGACATTAAACTTCACCCAAGAATCCGGCAGCCCCCCGGAAACTTTAAAAGACAAAGAAGATGAGGAGATGGGCCTTCAGTGACGAGTGATAGGAGTGACCTCGTCCTTGCAGGAGTTGCGCTTTCTCGCCCCCGAGTTGCGCTTCCCTGTCCCGGAGTTGCGCTTTCTCGCCCCTGAGTTGCGCTTCCCTGTCCCGGAGTTGCGCTTCCTTGCCCCGCAATAGCTTCCTCTCCTCATCGCTAGGGCATCTGTTGATCTGCTCTTCCAATCCTTCTATCTTCTCTTCCACTCTTTCTATCTTCTCTTCCACTCTTCTTATCTGCTCATGCACGCTTCGAATCTGCTCGTCCACGCTTCGTATCTGCTCTTCCGAATTTCCACTACCGTCAGCCATTCTCCTCCACGACCCAATGCAATAGGCAACGAACGAGGAGAGCCCGATCCGAGGAACACGACCCCCTATACCCCCAGACGATGATTTCTCCACACTACTCTCAAAGCATAAGTCCTCATCACCGTTTCCAAGTACCCTTGCACCAGCATCGATGTGCAGCAAACTTATCCATATCAACGTCCAGAATGTCCACCGGCATAAATGTCCAGCAACTCACGTCCCAATCGTCAGAAAGAAGTCGCTGACTTGAAGCAAATGAGACGAAGCAGACCCTAACTCGAAATCTCGACGACCACCCCGATACCCAGATCAAAATTGTCCAATACCCACCTAAACCGAACCCAAACCACGTTCAAAATATCACTTAGACAAACCAGTCCTAAAATAGGTATCGTATCTTGGAACGCCCGTCATTGCATTGGTAAAAAGCTGAGCTCAATTTTTAACCTGTTGAGGTTATAGGGAGTCTGTGTTTTTGAAGATTTGTGAGGATCCATTATAAAATGCAACTCGGAAGAAGAATCCGGAGGTGATATATGAACAAAAGTTGTTGATGTTGAATTTTAGACTACATCTACATGGTTAGATTTATTATTGCTATCACCAATATTTTAATAAAAAATTGAAACTTAAAATAGAAATTATTTCTAAATTTCCATTACAAACAAAGAATAGGCCAATTTTGAGTGAAATTTGTTTGAATGGAGTTGAAATGCAACATTCTCAATGTAGTGATTATTTGATATTTTCATTCTGTATAAATAAAAACTCATTTTTATTTATGAATTTACTTTTATTTATGAACTTACTTTTTCAAAGACACTTTATAATTGAAAGTCAAGTAAATCAAATTGTCACATACTTTTATTCTTATAATTCTACTAAATTTTTTCATTCTACTAATGACAAAAGATTGTGGTAATTTTTAACTTTTATTTTTACATTAAAGTGATGAATTTTGTCTATGTAAACCACTTTGTATTGTCAGTAATTGGTAGGTATATATATAATTATTTTTTAAAAATTAATGGTAAATTTTTTAATTGCAATGGCTATTAAACTAGAATGTCTTTTTGGCAAGATAAGAAGACTAGAAAGGCATTGAGAATAGTAAAGAGGGCTTCATTTTTTACTCCATATATATTATCTAACTAGGAGCTACATGGTAATGATCTATAGGACCACCAATATGTGTCCAAATTGTGATACACATGTTTTAATTTGTATGACAAGTTTTCCATATGTGCATCACATAGTTAGCTTGTTCCACAACCTACCAAAACGTGTCACACGTGGCTAACTTATTGACTAAGTTTCTAACCTTTAAACACATGTAAAGTCAAAGCTGTATTTATGAAGTTTCTTTAGAAGATAATATAAAATTGATCTATTTTTTCCTACTTCTATTTAATCATATAGATAATTATTGGAGTAAATATGTGTGTCCATGACAATACCCTCTTCTAGAAACATGTTCTACAAAGATCAATCATCATAGGTTGAAGAAGTCTGAGATGTGGTGAACTATGTTTACCAAATAGTCTGATCTTTATTCTCTTTGAAGATGGTTGATATGTCCTCTTAACTATCAATAGTATTTTATACTAAGATGAAAAGGTTATCCTGTTATTTGATTGTTGTTGAGGCCTTTACAATTCCTTTCAAAAAATAAATTTAAAATATTGTCAAAAGTCATTCCTACCTTTAATAAAATCCCCAAACATTAGAAGTCTCTTCCAAAGTCATGATATCAAATACGTTGTATCTTACCATCTATTTAAGAAAGAATATATTGTTCTTTAGAATCTTCATCTTGATTAAGTTGTCTTAAAGGTTGTGACAATCACAATATTTGGTTTAGTAAGTTAATAAATGATAGCTCTAAAGTTGAATCTGTTAGTTATTTGTGCTACATCTCTTTAGTACCACAAATACACAAAAACTAAAAACAATGATAAAAGATAGAATACTATCTTTTTTAGATCTTATTACTTTTATAGCAAAGATTTGTTATCTTTCATCTTGGTTTTGATCGATGTCATCAATGAAAAGCCTCAATCTTCTTTGCTACATTTGCAAGATTTTTTATTGACTTCTATGTGTATTCATTCATATCATATCTGCACCAATAACAAGATATTTCAACCTATTTTGATGATGTCTTGAATCTAAGACTTCTTCCACCTCAAACTCTTAATGATTATCTACTTCTATAGCAAGAGGTGGTATTTGTCTTTTTTTCAAGATATTTACTATCTTATATGGCTTAAAAAGAGATACATGGAATACTAGATAGATCTTCATAGACTTTAGTAGATGTAATTGATAAGCAACTTGATTGACTTGTTTACAAATAAGAAATGGTCTAAGCCTACGATAATTCAATTTATTACAATGGTGGCTAGTCTTGATATTGTGATAAAACAACCATATATTGTTGCCAATGTGGAATTGAGGTTGCTCCTTCTGATAGGCATCTGCATTGGTTTTTTGTTGTTTTTGAGCTTCTTTTAGTTGTGTCTTTATTGTTGTATGTAGCTTAGATAAATGATTTATCAAATCTTTTGTTGCAAGATTATTAACTTTTATGAAGTCAAAAGTATCAAGTTGTAGATGATAACTATAATTAGTAAAGAAAGATATTTGTTTCATAGAAAAATGTATTGTGTTATTACAAGCAAACTCTGCCAATAGCAAAAGAGTTGTTCAATCATCTTATTGATAGTTGATGGTATATCTTAAATATTGCTCCAAATATCTCTTTACTTCTTCCGTTTGTCCATCAATTTGAAGATGAAAGATCAAAGATAGCTTCATGTCTAACTTTAAAATCATAAAAATAGATCTCCAAAATCTTTATATAAATTGAGTCCCGCTAACCGATATAATATCCTTGGACAATCCATCATAGCAATAGATGTTGTCAAAAAAACACTTCGTTGTTTTTTTACTTGTGATACATTTTGTACATGGTACAAAATAAATCATCTTGATAAAACAAACTACTATCACAAATATATGATCATATAAACTTGAGACTAAAAGATTCATGATAAAATCCATAGAAAGAAAAGACCATAGTTGTTTTGGAATATGACATGACTAAAGAAGTCCTTAAGGTTGATGATAAGGAGTTTTTGATCTTGAAAAAATATCATATGATTGTACAGAGTCTTTAACTACCTTTTATATTTGATGCGACTAGAAATCTCTAGATATTAGCTCCAAAGTCTTGTTATATCTAAAATGTCTAGTTGTTGGAAAGTTGTCATTAACTTGAAGAATACGTAATTGTGTTTTACTTTTTAGAATGTATAATCATCTCTTAAAATAAAGTAGATTATTCTTAATCTCAAACTTAGAAGTATTATAAGACTTAAAAGAATTATTCTTAATATGATAAACAAGAAAATCATAGGATATACTTAATTGAACTTACTTGAAAAATATTGAATCAATAGTCAATGTTGATTTCATTGCTCAAAGATGAAAATGCTTTGGCATCAACAGAATTATTTTTTATTAATGAAAAGCTACATCTCTTTTTTTTAGTTCAAGATAAGAACGTTTAGAAAATATTTAATAAACCTGGTTGTTTTTTAAGTTGATAAGTAATCTTGAAATCAAATCTTAATAAGGACATGCTTCAACGGGCTTGATGACAATTCAAAACACATACAAACATGAAGTAGTTGAGATTCTTGTAATTTATATATATATGGTGGTTGGATTAAAAGTGCCTTTAAGATAATGAAGCTATTCATGAAATGAATCTATGATAGCAAGATGATCTTTATCATGGAACTTGTAGTTAATCTTGATTCCAAAAACATTCTTGGAATAGGAAGCTATTAGGTGGAGCTTGTCATTTGCTTCCATCTGTAACAAAACAACACCCATAGCAAAGTCTAATGCATCTATTTTCATAAAAAATACCTTAAAAAAGTGGATGCAATATAAGATTGGTACAGAAATAAATGCTATCTTCAAGGCTTCCAAAGATGCTTCAACTTCTTTTTTATATTCAAGTTTGTCTTTATACATCAAATATGTAAGAAGATCCGCAACTTGAAAAAAATTCTTGATAAAGATTTAGTAATAATTGACAAATTTTAA